ACTGCACCTCTTTCTCTAGGTGACGCTGGATATGAACACCCCATCTGGATCAACTCGCGCGCCAGCACCACCCGTACGTTAACGCACACACACGCACGAATTCAAACCCTCGCCTCACCATGTATGCTGTGTACAAAAATTTGAAATGGCAGGCTCTGTGACGTGCAGCGACTACACCACAATTCCCAACATTGGCGCAGTCAAGCAGGAGTGGCGCCGAGCCCCGGCCCCATCCACTACCGTAGAACCGAGCACCGAGGAGAGCGGCAGCGGCGATGATCTCCTGACAACGCCCGGAAGCACAACTGCTGAGGGCAGTGGCGATGTTGTGCTGACAACTCCTGCCAGCACTACCTCGTCCACTACCACCACCACGGCCTCGACCACCACCACCACCGTCTCTTCCACCACCACCACCGTCTCGACTACCACCACCGTCTCGACTACCACCACCACCGTCTCGACTACCACCACCACCGTCTCGACTACCACCACCGTCTCGACTACCACCACCACGGCCTCAACCACCACCACCGTCTCTTCGACTGCCGAATCTACTACCACCACTGTCGCCACCACCACTACACCATACCCTACCGACAGCAGTGTGGAATTGGACACGACCACACGTGGATTTTTCTCATTCGGCGGCCTGAATCCCTCAGACCTGCAGCCCGGAGAGATGCACTCAATTATTCTGCGGGCACTGAACGAGCGACTGAACGTGTCCCGCAGCCAGTTGACACCCGACATGATCAGGGTGCTCAACATGCGCAAGGGCTCGATCTTGGTCAACTTTAGCGTTACCCCCTCGTCATCTGCGTCACAGGCCGTGTATGCCGCGCTCATCACCGTGCGCCGAAGCGGTGCAATGAGTCGAATGCTCTCCGACCTCGTGGGCAATGTGGTCACTGACATTCGCCTGGAGGACGATACGCTCGGCGCCTGCACCGAGTGCACGCCATATGCTAGCAACGTGACCGAGGCTGAGCTTCAGGCCGCCATCTCCGACTACCGTGCGGCCGTTGCGTCAGACACTACGATCTCGCCAACGACCGGCGAGGATGAGACATCCAGCTCGAAACGAGCCACCAGCTCATCTGACATTGCGCTGATTGTTGTCTTCTCCACCGTCGGCTTGGCCATGGGTGCGGCCTTTGCCTACACATATGTTCACCGTCAATCAGCGCGGGTGGGCCCCGACTCGGACGCTGACCAGGCGGACAGTGCTAGCAATGCCAGCACAAGCCGTGCGTTTTCACGCACACCCGCGGCACCTGCTTCTGGCGCGCCTGCGTCCACCGTGGTTGTGGACATGGCCGGCAATTCCCACGCATAATGGAAGACGCGCCGTTTTTCATGGAACGAACTTTTTTTTTTTTCCTGCCATCTCCACTGTGCTTCTTTGTTTCTTGTTCCTTTCTATTTCCCCTCTCCCCCTTGTTTCTGACTCCCGCCTGACTTGCATGTGCCACACACAAGCATAGGCCCTGACATGGCTTGACCATGTCGGTGAGCCCCACTTGTTTGTCATTGCTATGGCTAGTGCAGGTGTGATTGGCGGCGTTGTTCATAGTCAAGCCACTGTATGTGCAAGTTCTGAGATTTGCATGATTGGAGAGCTTTGAGTGTGCTTTTGAAAGCGCACTCCTCTCCTCATTGCCTCTTCCTTGTCTGTTTAGTGTTTGGGTGCATGCTTTGTGTTGGTCTGCGTGCACTTTTTCTTTTTTTCTTTTTCTTGTTTGAGAGCTTCTTGTTGTCTATAGCTGACTGTTGTTGACCTTTGTTGACCTTTTGTTACCATGCTGAACCATCCATGTTTACCGCACGTTTTTACACCACGGGGTGCGCGTGTGCTGAGTTTCTGTCTCGTATCTGCTGAACGCTGGGGGGTACACCTCTTACGTTGGAGGCCCGTCATGCGCTCGCTACCTGTGTGCGTCCTCTTATTCTGGTCCACTTCTTGCCCTCTGCGTCTCTTTGATGATGCATGAATTGCATTTAGAATGCAAGCGTCCTGTGCTCCAGTCGATTTGCAGATCCTGAATTCTTCCAAATGAATCGGGGCACATTGGTTGCGCGCTGGGGGGAAGAGGGTGTACATCGAGTTTACTCGGCGTACATGTCGACCGGATGGTGACCTCAAGCAAGTGGATACTGCTCGGCGCCCAGTCTCGGAAAGACAAGGACACTCGGGAGACTTGAGCATGAGAGGGCGCATGGGAAAACAACGTTAAAAAACGAGACGAGGAGACTGACATGTCAATCAAATTGCCCCAACCGCTGCCACGTGATCAGGTTTTAGTCGTTCAGGCCGGGCACCCCTGGTTTCTTTTTTCTCGCATGCCATGGGGCGACCGATCGCTGCAGTGCTTGGCGCAGGTGGCGGAGAAGCGATCGTGGCGTCAGATGTCTTTGGCACTCCTCGCTCGCACGCCCCATGAGTCAAGTCTTGAAAAAAAGGGTTGGGGCACAGGCACGCTGGGGGATCGAAATTTCAGCGTTGTAACCGATTTTCGCAAAAGAAGGAGTTTATTCAGCGTCGTATCATGACTGTTTGTCCATAGTGGCTGTTGCGGAACTGTTGTTTGCGCCTGCTAACGTCATGCTCACGCAATGCATACCTACCGACCACATGCTCATGACAATAATCCGCGTGAGTGGGCGGGCATAGATGTCACGCACTTGTCTGTCTCTCTGTGGCTCTCTCTGTGGCTCTCTCTGTCTCTGTGGCTTTCTCTCAAGCTCTCATACAAGGTTTTCCTTCTCTGACGAGGATCTAGTCCACATGTGCAGAAGCTTCGATGCAGTTCCAATCCAAAGGCGCCCTTGTACAACCCATCTCATCATTGCCAATCCAGAGACTTGAAAAGCCAAGGCAAACGCGCTCATGCTCACCGCGCGCCTCGATTGCCACACACACACACAGATCGTTTGTTCAACCAACAGCCCCAAACGTGCAATCCTCGCCCCAACGCACGCCACCCTCAAATAGGCGACTCGTCGATGAGGCCTCCAGCTCCCCTGCCGCTCTCTCGCCGGGCACTATGGCCGCCCATCCAATGCCCCTGATCCGCACAGCCTTAAACCGAGCCAAGGCCCCCATCACGACCGTGCAGCACCGAATACTCCTCAGCTTTGCGCTGATCATGGCCGTGCTGAGCCCCGCCCCGGCCCAGGCCTTCCACCTCAACGTCAGCTCCGACTACACTTATAGCGGCCCCTACATCACAACCGATACCCTTGTGCACGTCGACCTCGCCACTCGAGAACCCGCCACGCTGGCTTTTCCCAACCTCGTCAAAGCCTTTGCCTCGCTGACAATTGTCGTCGCCCGCGGCAACGTCACCATCCTCTTGCCACAACTTGCCGAAACAACTCACAACTTTGAGTCACTGGTGCAGCCACGTGGCCTCATCGCCGACCTCCAAGCCCCGGTCCTTGCCCGCATCGCTGGAAACTTGACCTGTACCATTCATCAATCCCCGGGTTTCGCCCTGGCTCCTCGTTTTCAAGTTTGACCGACATTCAAGGCAACCTCGCCCTGGCCCTTGATCGTACCATCGTGTACGCGGCCCCTCAATTTCCTGTTCTCAATGTCATCAACGGTACCCTCTTCCTCGCCATCACCGGCTCTGGCGCCGCCCTCGGTCAACAAGCCTCACAGGGGCTTGCCATCTGCTCTGACTTGCCTTCGGCCACCTCGGTGTGGATCAACACGCTTTGCCTTTTTATCGACACGGTCAGTCCAATTCATCGCTCTATTTTTTTTTTTTTTTTTTTTTTTTTCTTGTCTACATGTTGTTCTGACTTTTCCAATTTGTTATGAATCGAGTCAAGTCACATCTTGGTGCTTCTTGTGACCTCCTCACTGAGGACCCGTGCCCCCTTGCCCAGGGTGCGTCTGCTGTTATTCCTTTGGCCCCAACTGCGTGCTCACTTGTCGAGAAAGTGGTAGCTCAGCAAGTCGCCGGTCATTTGCGCCTATACTTGCGCCATACCAACATCCAACATGTGTGTCGCCCCGTTCGCCTGAACGCTCTCTAAACACCCATTCAACCAAGCTCACATTCTACCGCCAATGCCCTGCTTTCTCTGTCAGATTGCCTTTGACCCCATAAACCCGCTGTATATCAATGACCACGCCAACACTGCTCGTACGTGTTGTCGACTATCCAGCCTTCAACCAATCCTTGGCTGACACATCCCACGGTGGCTCACATGTACCTACATTGCTGCATTCCTCCTGCGTGTATGCTTCCGATAGAGCGGGTGGAGTGTGAAGACTACCCGGCTTTGCCTTCGCCCCTTCTTGTCATGGGCGAGGGTCCAACCGACTACCCCACCCTTGAGGAGGACAGCGGCAGCGACAGTGGGGACATGGAGCTGACAACCCAGACCACGCCTTCTTTCGCTGGCAGCGGCAGTGGGGACATGGAGCTGACAACCCAGACCAGCACGGAGGATACCCTCACTTCTCCGCCATCCATTTCCACAACCCCCATCTCATCCATCACTGCAACTCGCTCCACAACACCCGCAAGCTTCCCGTCATCGTCAGCAGCCACCACTACAGCCGCCACGGCCACCACTAG